TTTGCTATATCATTTGGAATGTGGTAAGGCAAAAATTCATTCCTTTATTCATTGTGTATTTAAAACCCTGAATTCATCAATAAGATGTTATTTTGACCTTTGGTATTTGTCTTGATGCTGATAAATAATGAGGGTTTTTTCAAATTCCTGTAAAGTATTACCATCTACACTGGATAGAATGACTAGGAAGGTCCTCTTCTTTCCATCCCCCCAAGCTCCCCCACACACACACAGAGGAAGAAGCGTATTAATAAAAATCTGATTTTTAAACTGTAGACAGTCTTAATATCACAAGGTTGTGCTATGATGAGCTGTTTCCAGAACAATTTAAGAGCAACTATTTTTGATTGTGTAATTCCTGCATCATTCACTAACCTGGTCTTTGATGCATTTAGACAGTCTGAACACAGTAGTTTATTTGAAAGAAAATAAAAGTAAGGAAACTTCCAGGGAGTGCTCCTGATTGATATAGAGTTAACCTAGTGATCTCTGCAATATTTATGGCAAGAATGATGATTTAAAGGAACAGAAAGACCTGCATTCATAAGAACAAAACTAAATGTTGTCTCCTGTGCAGTATATTAACTAAGGCAGGAAAATGATCTATTAGGCCTAGTGAGTTTTCAACAATTTTATGAAGAGGGAGGCATTTTTGCTTAGAGCTCAGTATCAACCAAAAGACCAAACTCTTGATGCTGGTGTAGTTTTTACTGTTACATTAGTAATTAGTCTTGGCTGTTAGTATGGTAAGTCCAAGAAGATACTTTGTTCTAGTCTCCTATTTGCTGGTAAGCGGGGAGGTAAGCTAATGTTTCTGTTTCCGAAAATGTTTCTGTTTCCGAATCTTAGAGAAGACCATATAGGTTAATGTTAATCAAAATACTTTCAGTAATCTAGTTTAGTCAATTTATAAGGATGAAGCAAGAAGCAGCTTCACCTTGCCCAGTTGTTAACCTTCTCACCCTCATATTTCCTGTCTCACATCCATCCCTAAGAGCTCTGCCCTCTCGTAAGAGCCCTCTGGATCTTTACATTTGAATCGTGTTTAGCCTGAAAGCATTGGGAAGAAGTGAAACCAAGTCATTGATTTGCATTTGCAGTGTAACTAAAATAATCCTTAAAAATTCTTGTTGAGGTAATAAATGCTTGTTAACTGTTTTTCTCCTAGACATGGGTCACCTGCAGGTAGATTACAGAGATAACAACAAGCTGCATCCGGGCGAAGATTCTTCACTGGACTCCATTGCCTCAGTTGTGGTTCCCATAATAATCGGCCTCTCTATTATAATAGCATTCCTATTCATCAATCAGAAGAAACAGTGGATACCACTGCTTTGCTGGTATCGAACACCAACTAAGGTATTGTCCTGAAAAAGTTTGTCTCTTGAGTGACCGAACTAGGAAAGCTTGCATGCTTACATTTCTTTAAATTGCTTGATGTCTTTTATATTAGCCAGTGAAAATTTTGCTTTGGTCTTCATGGGCTCAAGCGCACAGCAAGCTGTAGCCATCCACTACAGAGTACTTGCCTGGGGCTGGAGCAATCAATGGACGAATTACCCATCATCCACTGGTTAATGAATCCTGACCTTCCACACAGCCAATGTCCTGGATTTAAAGTTTTCAAAAAAAAAAATTCTGGATTCATTGTTTATATTAGAAATTAAAACCTGAATTTCTCAGTGATCTATCAGCTTAGAATTGGGAAAGAAACCTAGAAAGAGGGCGCCAGCACTCGGGTGAGAGCCACAAGACCGCTCGAGCGTCCTGAGCATATACAGAACTCCAAAGGACAGGGAGATGTATCCAGGGCAAGCACCGGGGGACAGGTGGCAGAAGATCCTGAAGAGACTGTAAAGTAACACTAGACCAGGCAGAAAGGGGCACATTTCACTACTGAGAAAGGACGAATATGTATTCGTCAAATCAGCCTATCTTAAAAGCCAAGAAAATTCATTTTCATTAAAGGGAAAAGTCAATGACTTTTTCCAACCCTGAGTCTACTTTTTACATTTAGTCTTTTTTCTTTAAGAAAAAATCGTATACCCTTAAGAACTTGAAAACCGCTTGAATAATTATTTTAATCCAGTTTACCACCTAGATAACTCTTCCATATAAAATTTCTGTCAGATGCTTATCCGGCCTCTGATTTTCTTTTAAGAAATACACTTTGGGCACCTGCGGGCTCAGGACACGGGGCTGGGCAAGACCCAGTCCCCACAGCGAAAAGCTGGGAAGAGAGACCAGTTCATAACGTGCATGGAGTGGCTGGCTACAGACAGGGGCTGGCTGTGTGATTTAACATTGTCTGTTTATCTTAAAATCTGCCTGTCTGGTGACTCCCACTTCTTCAACCCTTGTAAGTGCTAGCCTGCATGTCAAGGATTTGAAAATAGTTCAGTGGTTTCACCATTCTCTTTTTTCAGTTCCTTCATCCACTCCATTTGACATAATTTATTGACAGTTCACTTTTAAACCGTTTTGTGAGGCAGGATCCCTTACGAAACTACCGCTGGTGCTAGAACAGGGTGTAGACTCCACATCCAGTCTGCCCGTCTGTGTCCTGCAAAGCTATCACCTCACTTGAGTCGGGACTAAATTTGTTAACTTAGGATACATAAGACAGCTCATTCTTTGTGGTTTTTCCTCCTCTCATTAAATAGCCTTCTTCCTTAAATAATCAGCTGGTGTCTGTGGACTGCAAGAAAGGAAGCAGAGTCCCCGTGGACAGTTCGCAGAGAATGCTAAGAATTGCCGAGCCGGACGCGAGATTCAGTGGCTTCTACAGCATGCAAAAACAGAACCACCTACAGGCAGATAATTTCTACCAGACAGTGTGAAGAAAGGCGACGTCGATGAGGCTTTGAAAGACAGAAAACGACTAAATCTGCTTTTAAAAGTAAACTAGAATTTGTGCACTTGCTTAGTGGATCGTTTTGGATTGTGAGTTGATGTACAGCGCTGAGAACTTACCGGGATGGGCTCTGTCTACAGCAGTGTGCAGAACAAGCATTCCCACTTTCCTCAAGATAACTGACCAAGTGTTTTCTTAGAACCAAAGTTTTTAAAGTTGCTAAGATATATTTGCTTGTAATATAGCTGTAGAGATACTTGGGGGCGGGGACAGTTGAGTTTGGTTGGGGCGATGGGTTGGGAGGGTGGTGTTGGGAAGGCAAATGGGTCAGCTGGGCTCGGGGATGGGCGAGAAATCCTGTTAAAATAAAAGCAGTTGAGTGGCCCAGAGGAGCTTTTTTTCCTCGAAGACTGCACTGGTTGCTTCAAAGCTCGGGCCCGAGCGAGCGGGAAAACAAAGGCCTTGCGACCCGGCTGCCATAGCCACCTTAGGACTGCAGACGAGCGCACCGGCACCTGGCGCTAGCCATCCCCGGGCTAAAGCCACGAGTTTCTTGTCTATACGGTCCCGCTGCCGTGGGCGGTGAGGAAGCAGGAGAGATGCGCTGCGGCATTTCTCCGACGCGGGTTGTTAAGGAGATAGACAGTTATACTTTTTGCTGCTTTTGTTCTCTTCCAAGCCAATCAGCCAGTTCCTAGCAGAGTCAGCAGGTGAACAAGACCTGAGTCATTTCTTGATGTGAGCACTGGAGCTTTTCTTACCACCACGTGGCAGGAAGGAGGCAGAGGGCGAAAGACACCAGGTATTTCCAGGGGCTGTACTTCATTGTCTGTCGTGGCTTTGTTCTCTTGTTGGGTGTTCATAGTTTTTGTTGAAGCTCTAGCTTAAGAAGAAACTTTTTTAAAAAAGGACTGTTTGGGGATTTTTTTTTCCTTATTCTATACTGATTCTACAAAATAGAAACTACTTCATTTTAATTGTATATTATTCAAGCACCTTTGTTGAAGCTCAAAAAAAAATATGCCTCCTTAAACTTTAGCAATTATAGGAATATTTATGTAATTCTTATGCTTCAAAAAAACAAAAGTATTTGTGTGCGTGTGTATATAATATATATGCATATATATTTATACACATACAATTTATGTTTTCCTGTTGAATGTATTTTTATGAGATTTTAACCAGAACAAAGACAAACAGGCATTCCATATCAATGCTTTTGATCACTTACAAATTTTTAAGAAGACAAAATTTCATTCTACCTGCAGTTTAATTGGGAAGAAAGATGTGTGTGGTGAGTGTGAGCGCGTGTGAGGGTGTGTCTGCTCACGCCTTGTGCATCAGCATCACACCTGCTGTGGAGAAGGTATTCCTTTATTAAGATCTTCTTCCTCATTTGGATATGCTCTCTGTTGGTTTTCAATTTGCTCACTGGCCAGAAACATTGATGGCAGTTTATCTGCATCACTAATCAGCTCCTGGATTTTTTTTTTTTTTCTTCAAACAACTGTTTGAAACAACTACTGGAATATTGTCCATAATAAGCTGGAAGTTTGTTGTAGTTTGCCTCAAATATAACTGACTGTATACTATAGTGTTAACTTTTCAAACAGCTCTTAGCACTTTTATACTAATTACCCATTTGTGCATTGATTTTTCTTTTTAAAATGCTTGTTGTGAAAGACACAGATACCCAGTATGCTTAATGTGAAAAGAAAATGTGTTCTGTTTTGTAAAGGAACTTTCAAGTATTGTTGTAAATACTTGGACAGAGGTTGCTGAACTTTAAAAAAAATTAATTTATTATTATAATGACCTAATTTATTAATCTGAAGATTAACCATTTTTTTTTGTCTTAGAATATCAAAAGGAAAAGAAAAAGGTGTTCTAGCTGTTTGCATTCAAAGGAAAAAAAAGATTTATTATCAAGGGGCAATATTTTTATCTATTTCCAAAATAAATTTGTTAATGATACGATGTTACCAAAATAGATTTACATCAGCCTGATTAGTATAAAATTTTGTCGACAATTAATCCATTCCAGGCATAAAAAATCTCTATCAAAAAAATTGTAAATGCTTGCTTTTTGTTTTTTTCAATCATGGCCGTATTATGAAAATACTAACAGGATATAGGACGAGGTGTAAATTTTTTTATTATTATTTTAAAGATATGATTTATCCTGAGTGCTGTATCTATTACTCTTTTACTTTGGTTCCTGTTGTGCTCTTGTAAAAGAAAAACAAATATAATTTCCTGAAGAATAAAATAAATAGATATATGGCACTTGGAGTGCACTGGGGTTCTACGGTTTGTTTTGTTTTCCTCAAACCACGAAGCCATGAGGGAATTATTTGCAACTGGGTTCTTGGCACTTTGAATCTCAATCGCAAAAAGGACTAACAGTCCTTGTGTGTTAAGGTTGTCAGTCTGACCCTCCAGCACCCCCCGCCCAGCAGCTCCAGGGCCGCTCTCAGAGGGCAGGCCTCGCCCTGCAAATCCTTGTACAAAATCCCGTCTCGGGGTAGGTGGCACTTTGATGCTGCTCTTAGGGAGACTTAAAACCTACCTGTTGTCAGTCACAAATCAGAAACCTGCTCATCCTCTCCTCACTGGTATCAAAATCCATTCATCATGTGTGCGAGAAGGGTCAAGGTGGGAAACACTGGTAGTTTACCACTGGGGAAGCAAGTTTATCAAACAAAATCAGAGAAATCTCATTATTAGGGGACTGGGAATTGAAAGGAAAAAAAATACTTTTTCATACACTCCAGAAGCACCTACTTAAGAATGAACTATAAACAGAACACTTGAATCTCTTCCCCAAAAACCTATCCTCAAGGACTTTTGACGCGTATGCCTTCTAAAGTGCTCTTTCCTTAGTATAGGCAAAATTTTTACAAATTTGGATCAATTTAGTTGAAGTTATTAATTGTATTGTGTAAGTATGCATCTTCATCAGTTGGGAGGGCAAGGAGCGAGGTAAGGCCCACACAGTCACTATCAAATAAGGCACTGATAAAACAAGAAACTAGCTCAAGCTCCACATAGCCCTAGGTAACCGCGGAGATGCCAAGTCGGTCTCCAGCTCCAACCTGAGCCGCTGCTTCGCAGACCTGGTGTGCCACTTGCCCAGTGGAATGAGGACTAGGGGTGGGCCTGTGTGCTCACAGATGCTGAAGGGGCATTTTAAAGCCCTGACAGGTCCTCTGTAACTCTTCCCACACTCCCGTGGTCTGAGGGAGGGAGCTGCCGTAGCTGTTGGGAATGTCTCACAGACCGAGGAAAAGAGCAGGACTTCGGTCATTCCACAGCAACCCAGGGCAACCTGGAAAAGTCTCTCTCTCCCCTCCTGACCATCATGAAGCTAATCAGGGTTCACCAGCTTACACACGGCAGTGACAGACAACATGTAGAATGGTAAAGGGAAGAATCTAGCACTGCAAGGGAAGAAAAGTCTTAAGAAATACAACAAAAACTCTCAAAAAAAAAATCTCTCCAACATATATTACCCTTTTTTCCAACATTTATTAAATGGCAATGACTTGACTGGAACTGGCAGAAAAGTGTTTCAGGACCAGTGCTGGATGGATGAGTAGCTGCTCCCCGAGTAGCACTTGGGGAGGACGCCCCCGCATGAAGGACACAGACCAGGAGTGGGGGCGGGGCGCGGCTGCGCAGACATGAAAGCACCTCAGGGGACGCAAACTCCTTGTAAAGGACACTTCTTCGCAGACATATAAACATCCAAAGTTCAACAATACAAAGTTCTGAAAGTGAATGGCAACTTAATGATTAACATCTGAACAGTGGTGAAACCCACAGCAACCTCCAACATCAGCCCGCTCCCCACCAGGGAGAGCGCACATTCGGCTTCCACTTCTTCCAAGAACAGCCCGCGTTTCCGTTTCAGTCTCCCTGGACAACACTGGTAGGTAAGGTTTATCCTGACAGTCCCCTTATAAAGATCAGCGTCGGTTCTCGCCACCACCGAAGAATAGCTACGATATAAATCTCTCAATGCTTTAATCTAGTTCTTCAGTGCAGTTCAGATCTAGAAAGCCGTAAGAACTCAACTGGGCATACTGTCAGCTCAGGAAAAATATAACTGGGCATGCACAAACATGACTTCCCTCTTCCTCTGCAAAGTTGGAGAGAAGAGCTCATAATTGTTAGTATTTAACACAAAACACCTCTAGAATTCAGAACAGTGCCATACTTCTCTTGGTTCATAATACAAAGAATTAGTGAAAGCATGATCTAGTAATACTGAATCACAAACCCAAGTTCAAGTGTGCGGAGTTTCCAATGGCAGGAAGGGAATGGTAGCCAGCTTTCAGAACAATGCTGTACGAAATCTAGCTTGGAATCCGCGAAAGAAAGCTGCTCCTGACATGAAGCTGCCCTATGTAGGGCACAGAACTAGAGGAAGAAAAAAACCTTTAAATAGAAATACAGATTTTGTATATATTTACACAAGATGTACATACATATGTATAGAAAAATATACTATTAAATCATGAGAACAAACAATGCAAGGACCTACAGTAGCAACTTTTTAAAAAAGGTTTGAAAACGCTACACCCAACAGTGAAAAGTTCTCTCAAGACACATTTATTACAATTGCCCAGAAAGGAGATACCAAAAGGCCATGTCTCTTAGGATGCCACTTAAGAGATAAGAACCCATAACGTTAGCCCTATACCGTCAGGCTTGTAACACGGGCAAGAAGCTCCCCAGGAAGTGAAAGGAGAGTGCAAGTCTACACACACACACAGCAGCAACCCTGTCTACACTGCCGGCCTTCGGTGCAACCTGGAGGCCACAGCAGGGTCATTCAGCACGTGCGAGAAAAAGCTTAAGAAGCCCGTACAGCATCCATCCCACCCTTCTCAGGCCAAATGAGGCCCCTTTTCTACCTTCTTTCATTTCGTACCTTCGCATTAAAATGAACACTTAGCAGCCAGGCCATGGTCTTTGTTGTTACACAACCATGAGGAAGTCCCACCAAGAAAGCAGAAGGAGAATTTTCCCTTGAGCAGGACCCCCCGCCAGGTGAACCTTCTAGTGGGCTGGGGACCCACCCCCCAAGGTAGAGGAATCGCTGACTGGCTGTGGAAGGGCCAGATGGGTGGAAGAGAGCATTTTCAGTCACCCCGTCTGCATAACCGCCGTCCATACGTGCCCACGCGACTGAACACCTCTGAGCGTCACCCACAGGCCCACTTACGTGCTCGGACCGCACAGTCACCACCTGGCTCTGACCCCTAGCTGCTTTTCCACCCAGGCCTCACAAAGCTGAGACAAAGCCACCAACACACGCGCACAAGCGGCCCGTGAGACGCAGCTCCGGCACGGGCCGGCCCGGCTCACAGGCGGGAGCGGGGAGCACAGAATTAGGTAAGCGCTGCTTCCCGAAGGCACGTGGTAGAGGTTCAGTTACAGGCCTGGGTTTTCAGAGGAAAAACTGCAACATCATTTGCCCCCAGAGCACTCTGTTCTCTGGGTCGTAAAATTCTTCCATGCAGTCAAATGATAAAATAGCCAGAGAATGTTTCAGAAGCTCATTCTATTTCTGGCGCTCATGGTAGTGCCCTAGGGACCCGGTATAATTAAAAATTAAGACATGTTCTTTATGTTCATCTCATTCCTGTTTCACATCTGTAAGAACAAACCTCAGAACAATCCAGCTTTCAGACCAATGCTAGCACAACATAAAAGCAAACAAAGGTGTCAGGTATTAAAAAAGAAAATTCAGAATGTAATAGGAAGAAAAAGCCCTCCATCAGAAGAACACAACTTATTTAAAATTTCAATTTATTCTTTTCAAACCCCTCCCCCTACCCCTACCCTACTAATGACTGGCTCCACTCCAAGTCTCTTACAGGTGATACTTAACGTATCACTCACTTGGAGCTCCCAGTACCTTCTGAGGTTCCCTCTTTATGAAGCTATGGTTAAAGAAAGGTCTCATCTGAGTTACCTAACATCTCAGAAATCCCAAACTTCCTATAGTTCAGCCAGCAACTCTGACGGAGAAGAGAGAGAACCCAAAGGAAAATGTTACCAGAAGAGGATTGCTCTCAATATTGGATCACACCCTACAGGATGCATTTTGTGATGCTTGGAAAATCCGTCACCTGGATAACTGCTGCCTTATAGAAAATAATTTCACTGTATTAGTATTAGTTTTAGTTTAGTATTAGTTTTGCCTATAATTAAATAAGTTCATCAGTTCCCTCTTTATCATCCAAATTTTGATCTTTCCTCATTAACTTCTCAAATGACCTTCCTTTGCCTCATCCCTGTTCCCAACCTGTGATACTGATCTTGCTAAGATTTATGGCTCATTTTTCATTGTCCTAGTTGATGAAAATCCATTCTTTTTCCCCCTCCCCTGCCTGTCCCTTACAACAATCCCTCTCATATTCCCTTTGGGACTCTCCACTGATTTGACTATTCTTTCTTTCATCCATCCTCATGATCTGTCCTTCCCTTTCCATTGTCCCCAAGATGGCGGAGACCACCCTACTCAACCCCTCCCAGTGTCAGTCAACACCTCAGACTCACATAGTTGTGGGAATGTCTCCATAGTATTTCCCCCACTTCCTGCCTCCATGCTTACAGCTGAATTATGCAACGTATTTCCACCAGCTCAAGACCCCAAATAAGAGTTGAATTTTATATACCATAATTCGTAACATGCATAGCATAAGTAAGCCATGCATCTATCCTCACTCTGCACAAATGACATTGATTAGTGCGTTTGGGAATTATTTTCTTATCTATTAGCAAGATGATGCATTCATCGACTCATCAAATCTTTCCAACCATCGCGCACACCACATCCTAACACTCACCTTTCAGTATATAATCGGTTAACAAGCTCGGGACCTTTTCACTGTCCTCTTTCATGGCACGAAGAACTGAAAAATAAAGGTGAGAAAGACAAGGCAACAATTTCAAATTCCCATCGAAGATCTCATTTACACTGTAGCATTAATTAATTATATGGTATAACCCATCCATGCAAATTATTATTTTCTGGATATGGAAATACACCCACAAATGCTCAAGAACGTACTGTGGTTAAGTCCTTACTCAGATGAGAACATTCCTATTGCCCGAGACTCATCTCCCTGATTTAAAACTTCCAAACAGTGGAATCAGGAAAGAGGCATCAGGTTATTTACACAGAGCCTCAGGTCTGTCATCATAAATACTGGAGAGCGAGGTCCCATCGTGAGCACTTCCGTAGGCCCCGGGAGCAGGATAGCCTCAGTCAGCAGATCTCACAAGCTGGAGAAAGTCTTAGATAAATGACTAGTTAGCTACACTCTCCAAGGAGCATGTCTGTCAGCCTTCTTAGAAATGGGTAAAAGACCAACACAAAGAACAGACCTCACAGAGCAACACCCAGCCAGGCTGCCTCCTTCTAGACTATGAAGGAACCTTGGCGAATTAGCCTCATCCTAAAGGAAATCTTTGACAATTTCATCTCTAAGCAAAGACGAATAGAAAGATCAGCTATTAGAGTGGTTAAAACTCTAGGCCACCCAGGTACACATAAACACATGAACAAACACTACACTTGCACAGTATTCTCCCCAGAGCATACCGGGGAAAATGCCACACTCTTTTCCCCCAGACATAGGACAAAACAACATGGTGTAACTGGCAAGTCAGTCAACCTGGGCTTAAACCCTGTCTTTCCCACTTCCTCGTTGTGGGACTTCGAGCTAGTTCCTTAACCGCCCAGTACACCAAGTTCCTCATTTGTAAGATGAGAACCATCATCAGACCAGTCTCAGGCTTGTTATGATTACCAAGTTACTAATTCGGATGTGAAGGGCTTAGAACAGTGCCCCACACAGAATATAGGCTATGTAAGCATTAGCCGTATTTATGAACACAACTAACATTATTCTAATTCTTATTACTATTGCTGTGTGCTTCCAATAGCTTTTATGAGGAAGGCTACATAACCAGAAATGCTACCCCTCTCCCCAGGACGTCTCCTGTGCCCAACATCTCCAAGGTGGTGACCGCAGAGGCTCCAGTTCTCCCCCAGGTTTTTAGGAGATAACCACTTCTTACTTTCAAAGTGAAACTCATACTAACTTGGACATTCCTTCACACCCCCTACACACGTTCACTCACCCAGAGATTCCAAATGATGGCCGTCTACAAATACATCATCTAAGAATCAGCCTGAGGACATTTTGATGTGGGAATTATGATGACTTTGGTTTGGCCAAGTATGTTTGTCCTTGATCTGAGAAGCCGAGGTTTTTCAGTAATTCCTGGCTTCTAAGGCAATATTTATGTCTCCTTCTGAAAGGGCTACTCTGTTCAGTATTTCTGCTTCCCATGATGTTTTAGATTTGTTTCCAGTTCTACATAAAATCACATGCCATAAGCTAGCATTATTAAAAAGTACAGTGGACTGGGAACTAAGAGACCCAGCCCTGTAATTAACCATTCCCCTGTGTGATCTTGGACACTCTAACATCATGAGTTCCTCTGGAAAATCAGAAGGCTGGCCACCCAGTTAATCTCCTCGTTCTCTATTTTAGACTGGCTAGCATCACTCGATTTATCCGTATTTTGGTATAAAAGGCTTTGAAAGTATTGTTCACCAAAGGAAGGAATAACAACTTCAGGTAGCAGGCAGGCACCTCCCTTGTGCTCATCCCATCCATGCCTCCATATCCCTAAATTCCAAAAGAGCTCTCGTCACCAGTATCCATTCCTGTGATTCCCTCTCACTTGGCTCCCTCTTTAATCAGCAGTTATTACAAATATTTACAGTAGAAAGAACCTAACAGGTCAGCAAATCCAGTCCCTTCAAGGAAAACAAAGCTGACTTACCCCAAATCAAGCGTATGTTAATTTATTTACTATGAGGGAAACATAGCAAATACTTTTATCCTTGTTTTTCATTGTGACCATGAGAAGGTAAGTAACATCCAAGGATATCACTGTAAATAACAGGGACAGAACCAGAATTCATGGCTCATTCATGGCTCTCACAAGAGATAGTCAATGGAATGTATAGTTAAGTCTAACAAATTATTTTAAAATGCAAGCCTCCTGAAGGTGGAGTATTTTTGTCTGCTTCGTTCACTAAAGTATCTCAATGTCCAGAACGCAGCCTGGCACAGAATAGGCCTTTTTAATATTTGCTGAGTGACTCTTCTTAAAATATTACTACCAATTCAAATTCTACCTGTGACTACTACCTTGGATTCAGGGTTCTACATTCCCAAGAAAGGAGACTGTTTTAGGCCACATTCTAAATCTTTCCTATTGAGTTACTGACAATCATATTTATAGAAGATCCATGAAGGACCTTATTTATTGATAAATAGATGTTCTTAAACATCCAAGAGATGATGGAGAATCAAGTTACACTTTTTTTCCTCAAAAGTTCAGCTTGTAAATATTTCAAAAAGAAAAAGCACAAAAAATACAAATCAACTCTGGATTTAGTGTCATGTTTGATGTTATAAGCCATCCATGGTTTCATTCTCAATAAATGATGACATCATCCATCATTTACTACCCTAAATTGACAAAGCAAAACAGCAACAACCAACCAAAATCAGTATTTTGAATCAGCAAGAGTAAACAGGATAAGAGTTTAATTTCATCTTTGCTCACTTTTTGTTAATATTTGAAGATCTTCAACAGATGGTGGTCCGTTTTTTTTCTCATAAGGAATGACTGTTGTCAAGTACTGCCAAGTCCAAAAAAAAAAAAAAAGTCACTTAAATCTGAATGACCTTATCTGCAAAATTTTGATACAGTTACTATAGGTCTATTTTATAACATGAAACATGAGATATCTTACTATCTCAGCTGGAGCTCATTTTTTGCCCACCTCTATCTGCTTCATTCAAGCCCAATGTTAACATAAATATCCATTTTTTCATCTTTCAGTTATTAAAAATTTCACAAAAGTAGGTCTGAGGGTGATCTATTCAATTTGTTCATTATTAAAGTCTTATCTAGCATTCTCCTTGTATATTTTCAACATATTTTGGAAATAGTAATTTAAAACTAAAAACGTAGTTGTAACAGTTCTGCATAAACCAAATCATTCCCAACAGCCAAATAATTCTGTTTCAGACCATTTTTTTCTGGTTGAACAAAATGGTCACATGGATAACTTGACAACTTTAAAAACACATACCAGCTTCTTCCAGAAGCTATCTTAGACACACGTACCAATTTTAGAGGTGTATTATTATTATTATTTTAAATTATTTAGGATGTTTAAAGGCATTAAGGGAAAAGAGAAAAGTGAAAGGAGAGAATGGCCTAGTGAATAATAAAAATTCACACCTGATACTGAGACAGTCTCGTTCACCACTGTAAAGGCTCACAAGTATCAGATTTATGGCCTATTAAGTATGTCCCATGAAAGCAGAATCTAAAAATTATTGTCCAGATGTACCTATTCTGACCACTCCACCAAAAACTATCTAGTTCAGTGTGGTTTGCATGTGCTCATCTGGAGATCTACTGTCTTTTACCCAGAATCTTTTAAGACCCACCCATTACTTAGTCCTTGCTCTAAATCTCTGCTCTATTCCTAACCCTCCATGAGTGATTTCACCCTTGGGTGACCTCATAATCAAAAGACAAGGTAAAATGGTTTAACAGGAACTGGCTCCTTAGGTACAGAAAAGTAGGAAAAGTGAATTATTCCATGTGTAAGAAACAATTCCCACCATCTTTTTGGTGTAGACTTCTCCAAGGTGATACCCAATTGTAGCACTGAATGTTTCTCTGTGAAGGAAGCCGGAAACAAGCCCCCTGGGGCTTCACAACAGCGTGAGCGGCAGGCAAGCTGGCCTCTGAGAGCATCAGGAAGCAGCGCCAGCCCCACCCCACCCCCGCGCACTAGCCAGCTACGCTCCCTGGCCCACTGGTATGTGTGGGTCAGTCCGGAAGCTATTATGCCAGCCTGTGAGTTTGAGAGAGGCAGAGGTGCCAGAATAAAAAAAAAAAAATTAGACCATCCCTTGATGGAGCTGGAAATGTCTGTGTGAAGGATTATTTAATATTGATTATTGCCCTTCTTGCCCTTCTACGCTCAAATGCTTTCTTCTGATAAACTGCCAAAAGCTACCTTCTGCACACTTTCTAAGTCTTAAGAGCTACATTGAAAAGTTTTCTTTGTGAAGTGAAAATTTCAAATTGTGAAAAGTAATTTTAAGCACACTCATTAATGTAGACGTGTTTCCTGTGTTCATGATCCTCCTTAAATCACTGTACAAAAATGTTAATATAAAGCAAATTACTACACATTTGACTGTGTACTTCTATCCATGTATAATTTTATATTAAATCATGTCGCATGCCTCACTTGGCAGAGAGTGAGTTGGCTAACTACATGATACACCTTAAAAACACTTGAATTTCATTTAAAAGGAGGTAAGATATATATACTCTTACTGACATGTTTGACCTAGAACTCCTGTCAAAAAGACACCAACATCAGCTTTCTTCCCCCCGCAAAATGATATCGTTTCTCAAACTTTTAGAATTAGCATAGTATATTCTAGTTTAGCTATATATTCTATACATGCAACTCCTTATGTCAGTGCAATTTGTTTAAAGGTAGTAGAAAATGGAGTTCTAAAACATGTATTAATAATGCATTTAGTCTTTTGTCCAATTTGAAAAATGCTTTTTCCTAAAGGGAATTGTATGCATTATCGAGACTATAAAAATGATGAACTTTCACTTCTCTCTTTTAAGCAATAGTCTTAGTAAATTAGTAAAACTGCCAGCTTTCACAGGACCTTCACTTACGCAGGAAATGAAAAAGCAGAGAATGAGGAAAATAAGGATAACCCAGCACCTGTTTCTCTCCACCTGAATTTCCAAAGGTGTGGCGGAGGCCATTCTGAATGACATTTGAGATCCCTTCCATGCTGAAGCGCTAAAGGCAGCAATATACGGCCCGGAAGAAAAGGACAGAGAAAGAAGTTCAAAGACTATTAGTAAGAATGCACCACCATGATTTATGTGCCCAAGAGACAAGCAGTTAGAAAATGCCACTACTCATTCAGATAAACAGACAAAATCATGCTGTTTTTAAACAGTTTTTGCTTCCATTCCCTTGCAAGTCAAATGCAAAAACAATTGCTTTTATGCTACTATATTCATGAAGACTTTCCTCACCTGGCTGATAAATAAATTTGCTCTAGTGTAAATATCCTAAGTTGTACACATCTTTGTCTTAGGCAAAATTTACCCGCGTAACTTTTAAGATACCTCTTGATATTGTTTACCTACATTGTATCAAAAGTCTGAAAACTTAATACTAACAGTATGCATATTTTCAGCCTAAGTGTGCATATTTCTACCGCAAGTTTGGAGAAACATGAACATAACATTTGGCAAATGAGAATGCTGTTACTTGGAGAGCTGAGGACGGCTTCCCACTCGCTCTGCGGGCCACCTGCCACTGCCTTGGTGCAGAAAACTCGAACTGCAAGAGCACATATGCTTCCTGGAGAGCACAGTGGATCCCATGTGCCAGCAGGCCCCGCACACTTCTGCAGAGACTTTCCCGCTGTTTCTAGGAAACAATTCTAGCTTCTTCCCCCAGCAACCTCCAAGGCTTCCGAGAACTCACTGTACTCTAAAGGGAATAATTTTTCCCTCAACTACTTATCTTGATTTGTAACCAGTCTGCAATGCCATCAGACTGGGGAAAAGAGGCCATTGTCACTCCTCTGGCTGCTGAGTCAAAGGCCTGAGATGGATTCTTAGGGCGTGACTAATTAAGGAGGAAGGCATCCCTGAACGGGAGTTCAGTCCCCATTGACCAGATGGGTCCTCTCTCTGGATTTTTATAGAGGAAAGTTGAAACAGTAAACACACTTGAGTCAATATAACGAGTATTTACCAGGCCCCATGGAACAGAAGAGGAAAGCAAGGCAATGGTCTCTGCTTTCAAGAACGTATGGTTTAGCCCAGTGATTCTCAAAGTGTGGCCCAGGAACCCCCCGCCAGGAGGTCCCTGAGACACTCTTAGGGTTCATGAGCTCAAAATTATTTTCTCAGAAATACTAAGGCATGATTTGCCTTTTTCACTTTCATTCTTTCATGACTTAGAGTGAAATATTCCAAATGCCAGGCTGAATGTAGAAGCAGATTTAAGACTCTAGCTCTCTTGAATTAAGCCAGGTATTAACAAGATTAACAAAAATGCACAGGAATGCCACTGTTTCTCACTGAATTTTTGAAATTAGAGTTCTTTTTCGTAAAAATATGCTATTTGTGTAAACATTAATGAATTTCTTATTGGTATTTTTAAATGAGTTAGTAAATTTTTAAAAATTTTATCTTAGGGCGCCTGGGTGGCTCAGTCGTTAAGCGTCTGCCTTCGGCTCAGGTCATGATCCCAGGGTCCTGGGATCGAGTCCCACATCGGGCTCCCTGCTCGGCAGGAAGCCTGCTTCTCCCTCTCCCGCTCCTCCTGCTTGTGTTCCTGCTCTCGCTGTGTCTCTCTCTGTCAAAATAAATAAATAAAATCTTAAAAACAAAAAAAAAAAAACAAAAAAAAAAACAAAAAAAAACAAACAAAAAAAAAATTTTATCTTATAATGGAGCAATTATCCATCAATATGACTTATGTAGACAAAAGCTCTTTGGGGTCTTCAATGAATTTTAAGAGTGTAAAGAAGTCCTAACAACAAAAAGCTGAGAAACACCAAGAAGTTTCATCTTTGAAGGAGCTAAATGCCTCTTTATCAGTCATGTACTCAGTGGTATTATCGAAAATCTGACTACCAAATGTTATCGTCTTTGGAGAACATATACAACCATGCCTCTCCTCCTAAATGGTCCCTCCCCACAGAGCCCTTCCCAGACTGCATGCCATTTTGTTCTGGCAAGAATGAAATGTCTGGTCTGGTCACCTTGACTGAACATGCTTCACTTGGCTGACAGCATAACCATATTCCCTTTGATGGAGTAGGCTAGTTTTAAAGGAAAACCTACACATAAGTATTCTGTAGATTTTTGTATTTTGTAGCTTTTTCATATGCTATCACATAATTTGTTCACATTTCTAAGCAGATTATCAAGAGATGAACTTAGGCACCAGAGGCTAGAGCCATTTTTTAAACTCTACCAAACGTATTTCCTCTCAAAAGCAACAAAGAGAAAAACACTTCATTCTCTATGTAACCTGACTCCATTATCTCTAGGCACGTTGAAGCTAGACATTGTCAAACAAGGTGAAGAGTTTTAGCATCCATGCATCAGGAGACTGAGGGATACTTTACATCTGGGCAGCACGTTCTTAAAAACACTAGCTGTACCTCCGCAGTTCGAAACCTAATGTCTGTCACGGCAAAAACATAAGTAAGAAGACAGATGCACATTCTTAAACTCCTGGGTCCGGCTGTAACCTAGGGCTCCTTATGAAACGTGCAGCCATGGCTCCGCTGAGCCGCCACAGCGCTGGTCGCCCGACGGATGACTCCTGAAAGATGGCTGTCCCGCAACCACAGCGCCAGGCGGGGTGGAAGGAGGTGGAAGCACGGCCACGTGAAGCCACAGCGACCCGGAAAAGCACAAAGCACATGGCTAAGAGCTGATCCTAGCGAGACAAGTAAAGGAACTCTCCCTAGAGCCGTGCCCCGGGGCTGAGGGGGGCTGAGTCCGGAGCTGGGGCCGGTGGCCCCCCGCGGCGGCCTGGGCAGGGAAGCAAGGTGGCTGGCACCATGTTACTGCCTCCCGCCCCAGCGGGAAAAGGACAGCACAGCAAAATCTCAAGGTTCACGAGAGACGTCGGAGCCCATCCCTCCCCCAGCGCCCCGGCGGCCATCAATCCCCACCGCCAGCCAGGAATCACAGCGCCACCCTGTCCGGCCCTCGCTGTTTTCAAACTCTTCCTCCGGCCCGCTCTGTCTCAGGGGCAACTTTAAATTCTCCAGCCCTCAACCAAGTTCCTTTCCCCAGGGTTTCCTCAAACAGCTCTTCCCGGGTCACTTCTCTGATGCTGAGGTCCAGGGACACTTTTCAGATCCCTCTGAGACCCCCGGTAAGCGCTCCACCTGTGCCCCTGCCCTGGATGCCGCAGGCTCCTGGCCCTGGCTTCCGCCTGCCCCTCGGGCTGCCCCTTCCCAGAGGTGGCCCTTTCTCTGCTCGGCTCTCATATACCGGTGTCCCCCGGGGGGGTCTGTCCCTACTGTTTTTCTCATGCACGCGCTCTGAACGGTCCCACCCCGCCGTTTTTCACTTCTGCTGCCACCAATGTACAGCTCCACTTTGCTAAGATCAGGAAAGGGCTGAGAACCGAGCCTGGCACTGAGGAAGGGCCCAGGACACGTCACTGAGTGTCACTTGCGTGTTCAATGGCCTCTCGGCCATCTGCACCTGAATATTGCTAAAACTCATCATATCCAAACCTGAACTCATCTTCCTCTCTCCCACCAGAAATAAAAGTTTTGTTTCTTTTTTAATCCTATTCCTCTTGAGCATTCTCTACCTTTCTCATGCATGTATCCACTCTTTCAAAAAACAGGGGCCAGATATCACAGGTCTTAGCGACTCCGAGCGAGCACACCAGCCAAGCCCCTCCTCCCCTGATGACCTGACATTCCAGCAGAAGCGGGGCCAGGAGTCAAACAAGTAACGCCCCAGCTGATAGCTGCACCACGGCAATAAAAATCGGGACGCCTATTTTGTATCGGGAGGTCAGAGAAAAGCTCTCTGAGGAGGTGACATCTGAGCTGCAACACGAAGTAAACACCCTCCCCGATGAGCTACAAAGGACCATGGACAAGAGAGATCCCCTCAGAGAGCAAAACCAAAAGCAGCCAAACCGGCCAACCCAGGAGTTCCATCCGCGGCCAGTGCACAGGGGTCCTGTTAGCCTCCCCCAGTGGTGGTGAAACAGGAGCTGCCGAGTAGTCCCACTCTCCCCTCCTTCCCATAAGCAGTTTTTACTGCGGCGGCCCTGTTCTTGCTCCATCCTGGTGGGCGGATGTGCTAACATGGCAGACTTAACCTTGGCATCATAGAGGCTACATCCAGAGCGGACGGGAAAAGCAGGTAACCCCCCAAAGATGCCGGGCTGGAGGCTCCACGCAGTTGCTATTAACAAGACCTGTGCATCTCCCTTTGGGAGGGGGCACATGTGTTCTACCTATGCTTGCCCAAGTCAGGAATCAGTGACCGGACCCTTCATCCTCTCTTCCCTGCTGCCCAACCAAGAGATTCCACCTCTTTCATATCTCTGAAGTTCAACCATTTTCCCGGCCCTACTGTAACTTCATGGCTCATTTCTTACCTGAATGAGTGCCTCTGAGTCAACGTCTCTCTAGTTGCCCCCTTCCAATTAGTTCTCCTTGAAACACTGAATTTATCCTCCCAAAAGACAAATCTGCCCAGGTAATGATCCACTTAAAACCTCTTTTTGGGTTTCCTACAGCCTTTACATAACGACCAAACAAACGCCTTAGCATGGCATACAAAGCTACCCATTTTCCAGCTTCTACTTTGCTACTTCCTCACCTTCTTCTTGAGTGACTTTCTCTCTCGCCTTCAGCTTGCTCTCTCAACTTCTAGCCATAGTGAACCACCTACAGGGCCCCAGATGTGCCTGTCACCTCCAGATGGCTGCCCCCACCATGCCCTCTGCTTGGTAGGCCTGCCCCTTCTTCTTCTTGTTCTCCAGATTCAACTCAGCCTTCCCAGACCCCTAAACCAAACTAGGGGCAATAGCAACTTATCCACACCTCCATCACGAGACGGTGCCAGACACAGAACCCACCAAGAACATGGTAGCTGCTCTGAATACAGCAATTATCACTGTTCACCTAGTTTTCTCAACCTTGACAGCCATGTGAAGTCAGACAGCTGTTTGTGTGGGGTGGAGTGTGCAGTGTGGTGTGTTGAACGGCATCACTGGCCTCTACTGGG